ATCATTAGATTGAAAAATGATGTTTGACTCCACGATTACATTTGAAGTAGCCCCAGTGGCCATGGATGATATCTATTAAAATCTGGTTATCTAACATAATTATGCAACTTTTCGATCATGCCAAAAGGGGAAAGATAGATTGTGCTTTTTACTTTGGACTGTGATGTTTATAACCTAATGAACCTGGTCCTTGATGATTTGTAACTTTAAACTGGAAAGTGTTCTAACAGTGTGTTGATGTTGAGCTGAGTTGAAACGGGTCTTATGCTTATGAAAAGCACAAAGTTTGTCATCATAAAAAAGGGAGAATTTATTGGAGTGAAGTTTGTTTTGATGATTGACAAAGGAACTCAAGCATGAACCAGGTCCATACACAGCGTACACAGACACGAGCATATTCGAGCACAAGGCATGTACATGAAGGAGATAAGCTTAAGTGGTTATATCTGATATTTCCTGAACGCAAAGGTTGCATAAGTGATAAGGAGAATGACTCCTCACTCGAAGAGAACTCTATTCTAGATAAGGGAGGAGTTAGAAGTTGAAGATAACTAGAACTCTTCCACCAAGGAAGAATATAACATTAAAATTCTATTTATTTCCTATTCTACTAAGTCTATATATTTCAGGATGTTCTCATTTTACAGGTACGCACAAACGCTGAAGTTAAACGAGAGTTGAGAGCAAAATAGCAAGGCATTTTGCAAGTAATTCTTGTGTGATTCAAGTGTGCGAACCTGAAGCTACATGAACCAGATAGAAGAACCAGTTCCAAGTGACTATCTTTTATTCTAGTTTCATTGTAGTAGAGCTTTGAGTTGTACCTTTCAGCTTTATCTAGAAGCAATTGTATTAGGTACACTGAGTATTATATTCAAGTTAGGGTTAACTTGAAGTTGTCGCAACAACTAGAGGCTGGTTGCCACAAAGGGTTAGAGGTAATCCTTAGGTTTACAAAAAGTTTTGTAAATGCTATTTTTGGCTCAATAATTTAGTGAAGTATTGGGAAAAATTCTACTGGGTAGTAGGTCGTAATTTTTTCACCTAGCATGGTGTTTCCCACGTAAAAATACTTGTGTTCTTTACTTTCCGCATTTATTATTCCGCAACAGTAGTATAAGGAACACATAGAAGAACCAGGTCCTTTTATACTCTGTGCGTGTGAAAATTGGACATCATACAAATCATCCCCCCTCCCCTTCTTGTGTGGTATTGAAGTATAAAGATCAATAATCATTTAGCTTGTTCATACAACAATATATATATATATATATATTCAGTTGGTTCAATCTCCATATAAGTATATAAAACATTGATTAATTGATGACAATTAGATATCTTAATAGAAGGATTTAAAACAACACCAATGAAGTAGATATGAGGAATTGGAAAGAAATAATTTTTGAATTTTTCTTGCATTTTTTCAACAGCATCCTTATATTTTTCTTTCTTCTTGAAATCAGAGAGTGAAGAGAAATTCAGCTATATGTACTAAAACCATAGTAATAGTATGGTAATAAGCTCCAGAAAACTCAACAATAGCTTTATAAAATTTTATGTAAAAATTTAACAACATCATTAATGGCCTCCCAAGTATTAGTTGTTAACAAACGATTTGGATCAGTACAATGCACATTAACAGCTTCAGTTATAGGCAATCTATATTTGTAGCAACATCTTAAAAATAAGTATGTATAATTCCATCTAGTAACAATTTCATCTGGTATGAATCTGGGGTTAAGGTTATGTTTGGTTTACTTAGTCTTAAATTTTCTAATTCTAGATTGTCTATTATTTTCTTAAATAACACCAATTGCTCTTCTAACATGAGTAATCTTAGTCAAAAATAAATCAATACCACTTTTAACAATTAATTTATAAACATGACATGCACACCTAACATGAAAGATATCATCGAGTGGTGGTTGCAAATGCAGTTTTAGTATTGAAATAGCGGCATTATTGTTAGAAGCATTATCAGAAGACATACACAATACTTTTTATTAAGATTGTAAAATACAACAGCTTCGCAAATAGTAGTACTTATAAAACCAATTGTATGACTCTGATCTTCATCATATTAAAAAGCGATAATACGTTTTTGCATACAAAAATTATCATCTGTCTTATGATATGTAATTGTCAAATAATCATTTCCATTAACATCATGGCCAATATCAGAAGTTAAAGAAACTCTACAAGGAAGGTGATCAAACAAATAATGTATATATGTCTAATATTGTCCATGAAGCCTAAAGATATCAGATCTACAAGTACTTCTAGGATACTTTTAAATAAAGGATTATAAATCCTTTGAATATACATAATAAGATATGATGAAGAAGCAAAAGAAAAAGGTAGACAACTCAAAGCAATCATTTTTTCTAACTCCTCATGGTCATTCATTTTATCATATTTCAAAAGTCCTCCACTACTAGGGTTTAGAGTTCCTTGATTTACATCTAAATCAGACCCCCATTCTATAGTATGAGTAATTTTTGTATGTCTACTAAGGATCCCAGTCCCCCCTAAATTTCCTCCAGTCTTATGTTTAAAATCATCTTTATAAATTTTGTATCTAACTCTATTAGAATCCTCTATTTCCTCAAAATATTTTCAAATTTTACTTCTCCTTTTCCGATGACTAGTAGTCAGAGCCACAGATGGTCTACTACTAGTGCCACGACCACCACCCATGCTACCAACCCCAACACTGCTAGGTGTAGGTTGTGTCTCGCTTTCAATTTCTAATTCATTATCTTATATGTCGTAATCTTCTTGTAATTGTTCATAATCTATATTATTATCAGGTGATGTTTCAGAAATATGTGTAAAATCATTTAAATCACTACCAGAAGTAGTAGCACCTCTTTTTCTATTTTTTCGATTACCCCGATTAACAACCTTATTACAAACTCGTTTTGCAGCATTAAACATATTGTGAAAATTTAACTACTAATAAAAATTAAATGTGCAAATAAAATATTAAATAAGAGAAAGAGTTGGAATGAGTGCACCGAATTTCGCAATAAATTGAACACTTGATGATTTTTGAAGTCTTGAAATTAAATTTCGCAACTCTTACGTTACCACAAATAAACTTCAATTGTTCAAAGTTCAAACTTCAAATAATACCATAAATAAAATTCCAAAAATTTAGAGTCAAATAGTTGATAGCAATTTAGTTGAAGCATGAGAGAATGACAATTGAGAATTTAGGTATGAGAATTGAGAGATGAGTGAAGAAATGAAGAAGAAAGGGGAGAAGGTCTATTTATAGTTTTTCAAAGTGCTAAATTAGTAAATAATAAAAGTGTTATTTTAAATTTTAAAATAAACCCAAAAAATGCTATTCTTGCAATTAAAAGTCATTGGACAACGGTTAAAACGGTAGTTGACCGTTGCTAACGATCAAATGTATTAAAAAAAAAATCAAAACTAGTCGTTGAATCGATCTGGATCGGTCCGGGCTGATCCGATTAACCGGTTCAAGCTTGACAAGACATTACTGGTTTGGACCGGTCCGGTTAATCGGTATCCAAATCGTCACCGGCACAGGCCGGTTCACCTCCAAACCCAGCCCTGCCCCGCCCCTTTACCATCGGTCCGGTTCGATCCTGTCTGGTTCGGTCCGGTCTGGAACCGGGCCAACTCAGCCCGTTTGACAGATTTAGTATGGTACGATGGTTGGTATCTATTCATTCTTAACCAGATGTCTGCGTTCGAGTCCTATAAATGTGGATTTCGAAATCAAATGATTTAAAGAAAATCCTACGTATGTTAATGTGTCCACCCCACGTCCTAGTTAAAGCTCGTTATCCCTTCTGAAGAGATCCATTTCCTTGAAGTCCAATAAGATTTGTAAATAGTAGCCTGTTTGGCCAAGCTGGAAAAATCAGCTTATTTTGAGAAGTGCTTTTTTCAAAAGTGCTTTTGAAAAAAGTACTTTTGTAGAGAAGCAGTTTGTGTTTGGCTAATCAGTCTGAAAAGTACTTTTGAGAAATAATTTGTGTTTGGCCAAGCTTTTAGAAAGTGTTTTTAAGTGTCAAATTACGAATAAGGACATGAATAGATTTACTTAATAATTAATATTATAAATAAATAAATAATCTAAAAATTTTGTTATTACATGCAATAATTAATAAAAAATTCATTTTATTCAAGTAAAATATGAAAATAAAATTAAAAAGTACTTAATTCTTTTAATATAAGTTAAATATATTAAAATTCCTTCAACAAATATAAAAGCATTCATCCCTAAAGTCACTATATATTAAAAAGTTTTCCTAAAAATAAGAAGAAATATTTTTAAATTAATATCCTAAGTATTAGGTTTAAGGGTTATTTTGGTATATACTATATTTTGTTAAGGGTATTTTAGGTAAGAAGAAAAGCCAAAACTGCTTCTACTTCTGATTTTGGAAAGAAGCTATTTTTTTCTGCTTCTCTGAAACTGCTTCTGCTTCTTCACAAAAGCACTTTTTTCCCCCAAATAAGCTTGGCCAAACACCTCAAGTTAGGAAAAAAAAGTGCTCTTGGGAAAAAAAACACTTTTGGCCTCTTGAGAAGCTTGGCCAAACATGCTATAGATTGAATAGTTTAACCTAAAATATTGGATTGTGATCATCTAAATGATAAGTAGACAAGATCACCATACCTCATTTTTATTTTTATTTTCTTTTTTCCTCTTGTCCCACGTTAGTGTTTCTTCTATAAAGTCTATTATGAAATTATCAACTTCTAAAAAAAAAAATTTAAGTTATATTTTTTTGTATTCCAAAACATTACCAAGATGCTTACTCAGTCAAAGACAGATTTCCGACTCCAAACAAATGAAATGAAAAGTCACATAGAAACTGTCTTATCAGGCCAACTATATCTTTATCCACCTTACTCAAATAATCTTTTAGGAAGACTGAATAGCAGCTAATCAGAGACAATTAAAATGAAGAAATTAACATTTATTCTGCTTAAGAGACTAAAATCAACTGAAGCCAATATAAAATTTCAGATAAAAAATACAAGTAGGTGAGGTGGACTAAGAAAGGAGATGAACACTACAATTCCACATTAACTAACTAGTTATTAGGACTCGTATATGTGATCTAAAGGGTCATATGAATACAGTAACAGGATATTTCTTATCTTCCACAACAAGATAATATTTGCCTTCATCAATTACTGATATACCATATTCATTAGCCCTAGTGAAGTGTTCACAAGGGTTCACCACAAATTTGATTTTGGTCTTTTCCCCTGCATCTATATGTACACTCTTGAATCCAATCAACTGCTTTGTTGGAACCTCATCTCTCACCTTGGAATGCCTAAGAAACAACAATACAGGGTGTTTACCAGCTATCTTTCCCTTGTTTTCCACCACAACCTTAACTGAAATATTAGCCTTTTTGCAAGCCTCTGATCCAATATCCGAAACTGCTACATTAAGTAGTGAACCATGTTTTCTTGCCTTGTCTGTCTTTAGGTTATTGAAGTAGAGCTTGTCATGATTGACAGAGTCAATCTTGTATGAATAACTTGTGTAACTAAGGCCATATCCAAATTCATAAACTTTTGGCCCTTTGTAAAATCTGTATGTTCGCCCTGGATATCCAGTCGTTGAGTTAGGCCTCATGTTCATGTCTGTCATTGGTACTTTTGTGAATTCCTTGGGATACCAAGTCACTGGTAACCTGCCTCCTGAAAACTATATGTGATCTTGCATGTTAAACAAGTTTTCCAACAAAATATTACTTATAGTAGTAAAGAGAGTAAATACTAAGATTGTTGATGCTCAAGTTGACCTGCATTATGTTCTCCAAAAATGATCTGTGTTAGTGCAGCTGCTCCAGCCTCTCCAGGATAACCAATCCACAAGATGCCTCCGATTTTCGGGTTCTTCTTGGCAAAAGAAATGTCAATAGGACCTCCACCTACCAACACAAGTATAACAGGTTCAGCAGCAGCCTTGGCTACTGCTGTAATAAGAGTCTCTTGCTGGCCAGGCAGCCCCAGTTCTGTGCGATCCCAGCTCTCCCTCTCCATACGCTGGTCTAATCCCATTATTAAAACAACATACTGTGCCTTTTTAGCAACATCAACTGCTTCATGTGTTGCAGCAGAAGTACAGTTGACAAAGTTGCAGCCCGGATGGTAGTGTATGCTTTTCACGATGTGCTGAAATCCTTGGAGTAATGAAACATTCTTGCATGGAATGCCCGCGTAGTTACCTAAAAGTAATTCAGCATCATTTGCTTTTGGACCTATTACAGCAAGTGATGTGGTTTTGATCTTAGAAAGTGGAAGGAGTTTGGGAGAGTTCTTCAAAAGGACAATGCCATTTCTTGCTGCTTCAAGGGATAGATCCTGGTGCTTTTTACTACAAACCTCTGCTGTTGCAATGTTTCCATATTCCAATTTTCTTGGCTCACCATTGAATAGTCCTAACCTCATTCTAATAGAGAAGATATTGAGAAGAGCTCTGTCTATATCGGATTCTTGTAATTTCTTCTTCTCCAAAGCTAATCTTGCGTTGGTTCTCACGCAGGAACCACAGTTTACATCCATACCTGAATTTCAGTTGACAAGGAAAAAGTCAAACAGTTGTGATCAATTAAGTTGGCCTAGCATTGAGAGAACTTATAAATCACACCTTTTATCCACATATTGTGAAGAAATATGTCATTTGATACAAGTTGTTGCTTGTTTCTATAATAGTAAAATTAAAGTATCTTAGCAATGCAAGCGTTATCACCAGTATATAAGTTCAATATAAGTATATAAGAAACAACTACTGGAGATTATCTCTTTAGACTATAGGAATGTTGAGATCACTGAACATTCCAATTGAAGTTGCTAATTAACAATAAGGAGTGAAATAAGTTCTAATTAGATATGGTATGCATTTGAAACGCGTTTTACTCCAATTTCAGTAACAGACAAGAAATTCATTCTTTTTACAGCAAAATTAAAGCAGAGAAAGGATCAGTTACCAGCTTTGAGAGAAGCTGCAACTGCATCTTCCACTGTGTATCCCTGGTGATCATGCATAACCTTAACTGCATCGCAATCTGATACAATGGAACTTTTCAGCAATAGACAGCAGTTAGTTTTGTGGTGCTGGAATCATATTTCATCTTAGATTATTCAGTGAAACCCTGAATGTAGTAGAAACAAATATCCATTTGCTTATCTAACTAAGTAAACTTTTTACCCGTTGAAACCCCATTGTCCACGGACAGTCTTAGTCAGGAGATCATAGTTAGCGCAGTTAGAGACACCATTGAGACGACTATAAGCACACATTAGACTGGTGGCTTTTCCTTCTTCCACGCAACTCTTGAATGGTGGTTGAAATGAATCTGCCATATCCTGCGCTGTAACCTGAATGACACATTGTTTTAGATAACAATATGAAACTTCTCATCTGTTTGCATTTTTTTTTCTTTTGGTTCCAGAAGTGATTAATACTATATACTATGAAGCAGCATCAGTACATGAAATAACCAATGATAAAACATAGTAGGTGATATAGGATCGTTACATCTAAGACAAACAAATAGGATATACTATATTAGTAGTTTATTGCATCTTGCTTCTGTATTTAGCTAGTTGATCTGCCACATTGTTATGTTCCAAATCGTTCAGCATACAAATAAAATTAGCCTGAAATACAGGATTTTTGGCATCTACATTGAGGACCAATTCCCAGACCTAGGAAATTTGAAAGTTATGTACAATATAATCCTTAAACAGAACAAACATTGAATATCAGGTAAGAAAGGTCCAGGTTAGTTAGTGACCTGAGCATCGAAAGTGAAACGATAGTGGCCATTCCAGTGATCCAAATCCTGAGCTGTAAAGTGCTTACAGCAAGCTGAGGCTTGAAGATGCCCATCTTTTAGCTTCCCACCTCGAAAACTATCTCCTTGAAGTCCTCTTACATAAGCCACTCCGTATTTTCCTACCATCATCGGGTCCTCTCCAGCCGTCTCTTGAGCTCTACCCCATCTTGGGTCCCTTAGAATGTTTATATTCGGTGCAAAGAATGTCATTCCTTTTAGTTCACCAGCATTGTATACTGCTCTTGCTTCTCTTGAAATTGCCTAGGCAAATGTACAGCATATCAGTACTAGGTGTTAAGTTTACTCTAACATTCTACTGTAAAGAACTTGTTAATATCAGGCGCTACGTTTTTATTATTTCTTGAATTTCTTTACAAAACTTGATATCTGTTTCCAATAATCTAATACTCAATAATTCTTCTTATAGACCTATTTGACACGCTCTAAAATGCTCTTCTCCAAACTCGTGTTATGGAGAAGGTGTTTCCTACATAGTTTCTGTTGTTTGATTAGAAATAAATTTTGAGGCAATAAAAGTATCAAACACCAGTAAATAATTTCATCAAGATAATCATTCTGCAGAAACAATTTGTTTCCTAATCAAATAGGGAGTAAATGGTATACAAATATTCGCTCGTTTCAATTTATATACTATATGACATCTCTTTTAAAACGTCATTTTAGACAACGAACATTCAACTAATAGTAAGATCCTATATTCATTTTCTCACTAGTCACTACATATATTCATTTAAATATTTAGGGGTCGTTTGGTTCAAAAGCCTGGCTATTTCAGGATTATAATCCCTGAGATTATCACCAACATTATAACCTGGATAATCTATCGTATAGCTGACCAATAATTAAATACCTGAGCAATTCGATACCAGAGATGTTCGTCAAAAGTAGAAGCAGTAAGAATGATCTGAGGGAACTGAGTTGCAGTTGTAATGCTTTCATTGAAGGACATCCCTTCTCCTGCATATGTTAGGCCGTGTAACGATTCCGACCACCACTCGTAAGCAGAGATATTTAGCCGAGGAATGGCGGGTGCAGTGTTACCCAGTTGTGATATTTTCTCGTCCAAATTCAGCCGTGAAATTAGATCCTCTACCCTTTGGTGTATGGGTAATGATATGTTACAGAATGTAAATGTTCTGGTAACTGGGTTGGACGCGTCACATGAAAATGGAGGACGAGTTGATTCAGTACAGCTGAGAAATGAGATGATCATGGTGATCACTGCAATTTTATCAAGTCCCATGTTTTGGATTAATTTTCTAACACAAGAAGGAATGGTTAGGTTCGGCTCTTACTAGTGAAATACATTGGTTTGAAATGTAACTGTTGGAGTAATATTTAATTAGCTGTGTTAATAATGTCTTGATAATAAATTCAGGAATGAGATTAAGAGAATTTAGATTTAATTCACATCAAACTGTGAATTCATGTATTATATGCATCCTAGCATGTGTTTGATATACTACTTTTAAGTTTTGTCAATAGTCATAACATTAATACTTTAGCTTTATAATTCTACAACTATGTAGGTAATATAATATAGAGAGAAATTCATTTATAGCCCATCGGGCCAAATATATAGCCACAAATTGAGGGGGAAGTGCACGGTTAACCACTAATAACATATGTATTTACTTTTAAGCCACTGTTTAAAATGTCTTTAGTTTTTAGCCACTGCTTTAATAAATTTTAACTGCCCGGACGAAAATACCCTTCTGCTCATGTTCTTAACTTTTGAACTTAAGTTCAGGACTTCAGGACTACATGTCCTTAACTTTTAAACTTGGAACTCTAAGTTCAGAACTTTAGGACTACATGTCCTTAACTTTTGAACATGTCCTTAACTTTTGAACTTGGAACTCTAAGTTCAGGACTTCAGGACTACATGTCCTTAACTTTTGAACTTGGAACTCGAAGTTCAGGACCACCTGTCCTTAAGTTCTTGCTTGTAACTCTAAGTTAAGGACTACTTGTCCTTAACTTTTGAACTTGTAAGTCTAAGTTTATGACTTATTGCACTTAACTTTTGAGCTTGTTAGTCTAAGTTTAGGACCAAGTGTCCTTAACTTTTAAACTTGTAATTGTAAGTTCAGGACCAAGTGTCCTTAACTTTTGAGCTTGTTAGTCTAAGTTCAGGACCTATTGTCCTTAACTTTTGAGCTTGTCTTCTTAGCGTAAGTTCAGGACCTATTGTCCTTAACGTTTGAGCTTGTTAGTCTAAGTTCAGGACTTCAGAACCTATTGTCCTTAACTTTTGAACTTGTAACTGTAAGTTCAGGACCAAATGTCCTTAACTTTTGAGCTTGTTAATCTAAGTTCAGGACCTATTGTCCTTAACTTTTGAGCTTGTTAGTCTAAGTTCAGGACCAAGTGTCCTTAACTTTTGAACTTGTAATTCTAAGTTCAGGACCAAGTGTCCTTAACTTTTGAACTTGTAACTCGAAGTTCAGGACCAAGTGTCCTTAACTTTTGAACTTGGAACTGTAAGTTCAGGATCCATAATATTTCTAGTTTATTTCTTTCTTTAAATATTTCTTTTGTAACCACACTTTAATACTGTCAAATATTCATTGGCAAAACACAACTACAATTACCGGATAGCTCTAAACAAAAAGAAGCAGAAGTTGAACAGTGAGAAGAGCGAAGGCGATCAAAGCGGAAGAGGAATTTGAAAAGCTTTGAAACTTTTTGCGCACAAAAAGAGACGTTGGTGTTTATTAAAATGAAAGTCATACTAACTAGAGCTGTCAATATGGGCCGGGCCGGGCTAGCCCAGCTCGGCCCACGTGGGTTTTAGCAATTGATGGGCTGGGCTGGGCTAGCCCACCATTTTGATGGGCCTTATAATGGTCAGCCCACCCCAACCCTATGTGGGTCGCGGGCCCCCACGGGCCGGCTCATCATTTTTAAAAATATAATTTTATATTTTTTCTTTAAATCTGACCTAAAAAAAGATAATTATTTAAAAGTTAAAAAATATCTTATTGGGAAAAATTCGCAAAACTTAATAACTTTTTATATTGTTCCAATATATCACAATAAATACTAAAAAAAAGTAAAAGACAGGACTATATTTCATTCACTAAAAGTCAAAACTTAAAACAAACTATTCAAGAGAACGTTCATGATGCTTATGAGATATCCAACACATCATCTTCATCAAACACATTTGAATCCGCTTGTGACAAGGTTGTCTTAACATCTTCACTTTCATCTACAATTCATATGCAATATTAATTAGTTAAATATTAAAAATAATTAAATTTTAAAAATTAATAATATTTAAATTCACATAAAAAAAATATTACCAGTTTGAGTTCGGAAAAACGTGTGCAACCAATTTCGAGTAGTAACAAGTGTTTGGACATTTTCATAATAAATGCAACTTCTGTACTTTGTAAGAATACGTCACCAATGCTAAATGGTTATTCCGATGGTACAATGGTAATAAGAATGCTAAGTACATCACGCACCATCATTGAAAGATCGGGATATTTTCTAGAATGGTCCATCTAATACATGACAACATCATCTCTTGAAACTTCTCAAGAACAAGTTTTGGTTCCTCTTAGTAAAGATCCAATTCTGACTTTCCACCTCTAAAGGCAGTATACTTTTTATTTTTTATATATTTTAAATAAATATTTTATTAGGCCCACGGGCCGGCCCAGCCCAACCTCAGTCAAGCCTCACGGGCCACGGGCTTACTCGGGCCGGGCTTAAAAACCTTGTTTTTAAACGGGCTCCAAAAATTCTAGCCCAGCCCTGCTAAATCACGGGCTGGCCCAACGGGCCAAGCCCATATTGACGGCTCTAATACTAACTTAAGACGACAAGATCAGATAAGAAAATAAAATTCACGAATAATCATGAAAGGAACCAAAAAAAAATGAGCACTGCTATAAAAAAAATGCACCAAGGATAAAAAATGCTATTTCCGCAGGGGCCAAAATCAGAATAAGACAATAACATAAGGATAAAAAAAATGCTATTTTCCCATTTCTAAAGCACTGCGATAGCAATTGTCTAGGCATAAAGGTTCTGAACCTTGCGTCAGTCGCCGTTTGTGAGATGGCGGCACAATTCTTCTCCCTAACATGAAAGAGATAGAAGAAAGGGTAGCACAACCTTTTCATATTAATTTTAATAGACTAGTGGCTACTATTGCTAAGCATTAAAAATGTTGGATAAAAAGTAAATACCACTTTAAAAAGTGGCTACCCCACACAATTTTTACACAAATTGACCCATACAATTCATAGCCTAAAAACAATAACAACTAGTAGCAGTCGCCTCCCATCCATATCTTCCTTACAATCTTTCTTCTTCTCTCTCACGCCAGCAACCCATGGCTGTGAGGCCATGAGCGCTTTTCTCTTTCTCTCTCTCTCTCTCTCTCTCTCTCTCTAAAAAGTCTCTTTCGTTTCTCTCGTCTCCCTTTTCTTGTATTTCGGGGTTTGGATCCTTTATTCGGTTATGAAAAATCTGAAAGCTCATTGTAATTTTCATCTTATATTTTAATTCTTGTTTGCAATTCATGATTTTGGGCTATATCTGGGTTTTGAATGCAAATATGCTATGATCCCAATTTATTGCCATCGCAAACTTATGAACTCAGATCTATTATGGATAAGAAAGCATGCATCGTGTTGTGGACCACACATTTAAAATGCTGATGAGCTATGAGAATGTTGTGTTTTGTAGAATACTATGTTGGATCTGATGATCTGTGCTTTTTTTCAATTTCAATGTTGTGCTGGTTTTTCTAAATCTCCATTAGTTTGTGTTTTGTGACATAATTAATTGATTGATTCACAATTTTTACTGTTTTTATAATATTGTGGTTACCATTTTAGGCGACTGTGAGGCCATGGATGTCGGTGTCCTCGTCGTCGAAGAAGCAACTCCATCAACCACGACTCTCATGGCCTTGTCTTCTTTCTCTAATTTTCTCTTATAGCTTCTGTGAATATGAAGTTAATATTTTGAAGATCATTGTCTGAAACTTTAAAACTCCGGCGATCTTGTTACCATTTTCGGCGACTGTGAGGCCATGGACGCCGGTGGCTGGTCTCTTAATGAGAGGAAGATGAGAGGAGATAACTATGCATAAAGTTGAAATATATACAAAATTGACTGTCACTATACAAAAATTATACAAAATAGACTATCATTATACCATTTATATACAATAGAGTGTCACTATAGAAAATATATACAAAAATAGAATATCATTATACAAAAAATATACAAAACAGTCTGTCACTATACAATGAATATACACTAACGATACATTAGGGATACATTAAAATATAGAGGATACACTTTATATACAAAATTTATACAATGTAATAGTATATATACAATTTTTATACATTTTATAATTGTCACTATACAAAATATATACAAAATAGACTGTCACTATATGATGAATATACACTAATGATACATTAAGGATACACTTTATATACAAAATATATACAATGTAATAGTATATATATATATATATATATATAATTTTTATATATTTTATATATATAATTTTTGTAATATACACTAAAAATACAAGATACACTTATATACAAAATTTATACAATGTGAATATAAAATATTTAATACATTGTATATATATATAAAAAGTTATATATAAGTATCATCTAACTACCCCATTAAATCCAGACCCACCATCGATAATCACTGTAAAAGTTCTTCACTCACAAAATACTATTATGACCGAAGAAGAAGAAGAAGAAGAAGAAGAAGAAGAAGAAGAAGAAGAAGAAGAAGAAGAAGAAGAAGAAGAAGAAGAAGAAGAAGAAGAAGAAGAAGAAGCAACAACTTGACTAAAAAGCCCCACGACTTTTGCTGCCACTTTTGTATCATGCATCGTAATTGAGTAAATATTTTTAATAATTAAATTAAAAAAATTGTGATTTTTCTGGGTACTCAAACAAATCTTTCCAATGAGAAGTGAAAAAAATAAAGAGAAAAAATATAGATAATAAGGAACTAACTAGTTCAGTAAGTGAACAACCATTTGCAGTTGAAGTTTTGTCTTGTAAGGGGACAAGGAAGTACACGTGGTTGTTGGAGGTGTTGGCTAAAATACGTGGCAGAAATAACAAGATGTTGCAGTTGTGTGTTTATTTTTGGGAGGGAGGGTGGGTAGGAGTACCATTAGTTTATCTTTGGAATGTCACGTTGGTCATTTGTTTCATATAGAGAAGGAAAGGAAAATGAAAAACAAATAACCAAAAAAAAGATA